AACAACAACAGCAGCAGCAGCAGCAGCGACAGCAAGGTCAGCATACGGTGTATTCTCACTCAGTCCATCCACCGCCTTCCCAGAAAGCTCACACATCGAGCTCTGTTAATGCGATTCTCTCTCTACCCAACGGCTCTGGCGGCAATTCTTGTTTAGTCAACCATTCCAATGGCCCTTTTGCTAATTCTTCGACAGCAAGGCCTCATTCTGCGCTTCCTCTCTCAGCTTCCAGGCTGCAACAGCAACAACAGCAGCAATCGCACCGACCCCATCAACCGCAACAAGGCCAACAACACTCAAGTCTTCAGTATCAAGCAAAAGGTATTGACGGGCAATCAGCTCCGATTGCACTCCGCATCGTAAGTAACCAAGTGCCTGCAGCCAATCCCGTGGCTCCGGCAGTACTTCAGCGGAAGCCCCCCACGATGGATCCGATATTCAAGGAACGAGAACGCTGGTTGAAAGTCGCGCTCAAGAAAGTACAAGCTTCGTCACTGGCCGACGCACAACGAGCATATGGATTTTTGCTAGAGGATGGACAGTCGCAACCAGAGGCGTTGCTGGCTCCTGTAAAAGAGGCTTTGGAATACGCAAGGCGCACCGAGGCAAAACTTAAAGAACAATTGGAATCTGAAGTTAGCAAAACTGAAGTTGGAGTTGAGGAGCAGAAGGCCAATGTCTCGCAAAAAATTAAGGAAGAAAATTCAACGACGGCAATTGATAGGAAAGAGGATGGATCTATCGTAAAAGCTCATGAGACTCAGGAGACTGCCAAGGAGGCGACAATGGCTGACGTGGAAGAGGTGGACAGTAGCAAGAGGGCGGACGATATAACGAGTGACAGGAAAGATAAGGCTGTAGCGGAGGGGGAAAGCGACCCATCATCTGGGTACGTATCTCGGAACGCTGTCGAAGCAGTGGCTTCTTCCACGCCACTGCCCGTTACACTGCCGCGCATCGCTCCGATGGACGGTGTACCGCTGGTGGAGGCAAGTCGGACCATCCAGGCTAAATTACACGAGCATCAAGTGCAAGGACTGAGCTGGCTTGTCCATCAATACCGCAATGCCGTACCGGCCATCTTAGGGGATCAAATGGGACTGGGCAAGACTTTACAGAGTATTGCTTTCCTGGCGTATTTGAAGGACAATTTGCATATCTTAGGGCCCCACTTGGTCGTGGTTCCTCTCTCTGTCATGTCGAATTGGATGAGTGAAATCGAACGCTTCTGCCCCTCGATGCGATGCATTCGTTTCCATGGTCCCAAGCAGGAGCGAGCGCGTATCAAGCAAGAAGAGCTGACGGACGTCCGGGAGTTCGATGTGGTGGTGACAACGTACGAAATGCTCACTTCCGAAATATCCTACTTCCGACGGAAGTTTTTCTGGCGTGTCCTGATCGTTGACGAAGGCCACCGCCTCAAGAACGAGAAGTCTCAGCTTTCCGAAAACCTTCGGAAGCTGCCCGCCTTTTACCGCATCATTCTGACCGGCACACCTTGTCAGAATAACCTTCGCGAGCTTTGGGCCCTCTTCCATTACCTTCTTCCCGACGTGTTCACCACTGCCTCGGCCGAAAAGTTCGAAGAGGGCTTCGATGCTCAACGCGGCGTCATGGACGTCGCGCGCATGAAGGAAGCGAGGGCCTTGCTCTCTCTCCTCATGCTGCGTCGTCGGAAAGACCAAATCTCCATGACTCTCCCTCCTAAAACCGAGTTGGCTGTCGTGTGCGGTCTGTCCGAATACCAGCGTACGTGGTATAAGCGGGTGCTAACAGGGGTGCGAAATGAGGTCCTAACTACAGGAGCCGGAGGTGCACACGAGATGGCCGATCCGGAATGGCGGAAACTTCTCAATATTCTCCTCCAACTCCGCAAAGTATGCAATCATCCGTACCTGATGTCCGATTCCGGGTACACTGTTGGCGAAGAGATGGTCGAAGCTTCTGGGAAATTGAAAGTCTTGGATCGCATGCTTCCCAAGATGAAAGCGGACGGCCACCGCGTCCTTCTCTTCTCTCAGTTCACTTCCATGCTTGATATTCTCGAAGAATATTGCCAAATGCGGGGTCACGAATACGTGCGGTTGGACGGAAGTACCAACAGAGTTCAACGACGTTTGGATATGCGTCGCTTCAACGCTCCAGGGTCCAACCTATTCGTATTTTTGATATCTACCCGCGCAGGCGGTGTAGGGATTAACTTGGCCTCGGCCGATACTGTGGTGTTGTATGACTCAGATTGGAATCCTCAGGTACGATTTTGGAATGGGATGCCGATGTGAAGGAGGGACGTCTACTTCTTTGTATCATTTCGTTGCTTTTGAATATACTCGGTAAGCTATTTTCCTTATCACGATTATTTATCGGGGCTTTTCTTCTATATTTCTTCCCTTGACAACACAGGTGGACTTGCAAGCGATGGAGCGCGCCCATCGCATCGGCCAAACAAAGCCTGTACGCGTCTATCGACTGGTGGTGCGAGCCTCAGTGGAGGAACGGATGGTGAGTCGTGCGCACAAGAAATTGTTCTTGAACGAGATAGTCGCGGAGCGCGAGGAAGGAGAGAAAGGAGATACGACCCTGGATGATTTGGCTGACGACGGGGCAGGGGATGAAGACACGTACGAGGGCGGCGGAGAGGAGAACGTGGACGAGGATCCTGTCGAGGAGATGGGTAAAGTGGGCTCGAATACGGCGTTGGCACGGGACGAAGTGGCTCGGATGATTCGGACGGGCGTGACGGCCCTTTTCGACACGAACAAGGGCGATTTGACTGATGACGAACTGGACGTGCTCTTGGGGTTGAAAGACGGGTCGTCGACAGGTGCTGGAGGAAAAAGCGAAGGTGGGAATGGGAATGGGGCACTGGAGGAGGATGCAGAGGATCAGGAGAAAGCGGTGGCGGGTTTCTGGCAGCAAGCGGCCACGGGGGATTTGGAGGAAGTAGACGTGCGGCACCTGGAAGGTGTGAACTACGAGAAAGCCAAGCCAGACTTTGGCGGCGCGTATGGGAAGCGTGGAGGGAGCCAGGACCTGGTGGAACTGGGAGTGAGAAAGAGGAAGCAGCGTTTGGTGATGGTGGATGGACGTGGCTCGGGATACGGACGATCCGTGCCCGTGCTGGCGGACGAGTACTTGCAGTCGCAAAAGGATGCCGCCGCGGAGGCGACAGGGTCCGGTGGGTCGAAGGAAGACACCACGTCGAGCGGACCGAGGCGTCTGCGCCGCGACTGGGACCATGAATCAGGTTGTTTCCTCTGCCAGAAGGCCTTGATAGCGGACCCGTCCAAAAAAGGGCAAAATTTCAAATGCGGGTATTGCCCCAAAGTGTTTCATACGTCCTGTTTGTCGAATTTCACGAAGAAGGCAGTGGAGGGTGCAGGGCCCGCGAATATCATGGTCTGCCCCCACCACAACTGTCACGGGTGTCGCCGTACGACGGCTGCGGCGGGTGGCTTACTCTTTCGTTGCGTGGAGTGCCCGCGCAGTTATTGCGAGGATTGCCTGGAAGATGAAAACATCGAGTCCTTGGGTCGATGGAAACCGCTGGAGGCGTTGGGTTACTTCACCAAGCAGGCGTACTTCATTCGGTGCCCGACTTGTTTGAACAGCGGGGAGGAGGGGGAGGAGGGAGACGAGGAGGACGAGGAGGGAGAGGAGGAGGGAGAAGAGGAGCAAGAAGTGGAGGAATGAACAGAAGAAAGATGGGAAGGAGCGTCAGGACGTGTTTAGGGTTCATGTAATAATGGGTAGAAAGGAATGGAATGGCCCTCCGTGTTCTGAATATGTGTATTTTGTAGACGTGCTGTCAAAATTAGTCCCAAGTCAGCCTCTGAGTACAAATGAAAGGGCGACAGATTCCGAAATATCAGTCCGTGACTACATGTCTTCTCGACAGTCGGGAGGACGGGCAAAAGAAATAACGCAGCGTGAAGCACCCAAATGCCCTCAACTTCGTTCAGTGCGCGGCCATCGACAAAAGAGGATTGGGGTTTCCCAGCCAGCACATGATTGTTGGGAGGCGGCGTCGGTTGTGTTGCGGTCATCGTTGATTTGCAGTCCTCTACGAACTTTAGCGCTCCAAGTGCCTACACGACCCCCCCCCTCCCTGCCCGGACCTCGTCTAGCTTCTCCTTGAGAAGCTCCACCCCTTGACAATCCCTGCCCAAGGCTGTCGTCAAGAAATCTAGCCCTCCTTGCTGTTTTTCCAACGCCTGTTGCAACAGGTGAACGTCCTCGCGGGCCAGGTCGCATGTCAACTCTTGCCGGGGCTCCTCCCTTCGATCGAGTTCATCCTCCTCCACCACGCCGCCAACTTCGTTCAAAGTCCGAATCGCACCTTCCAGTCGTCCTAGCATGCTCTCCAAGCGGTCTTTCGTTTGTTTTTCTTCCTGAGAAATGGGACGGTTCACCTGGCGGAGGACTTGCAGGCGCTGCAGTACCGCCAAGAACCTGTTGGTGAGCTCCATGTGCGCATCCCGACAACGCGCCAGCCTCTCTTTTGCAGCCCGTGCCTGGCTATACAAGGCTTTGACCCCTCCTCCCAGCCTTTCCACGTGCTCTTGCACTCGACGCATCTCTTCCTGCTGGCCCTTCAGCTTGGCCTCGATTGCGCTTCGATCTCTCAACTCGACTTCTCTGGGCACCCCCGTGCTCGTGTCCGTCACGCGGAAGGCAAATTTGTAGTCAACAACCCGAGAAGGCTGCTGCTGCGGCTGAAGGGAAGACGCGAACATTCCAAGCTGCGGTTGCTGTTGCTGCAGTGCTTGCGACGCTGGCTGGTCGTGAGGCAGGTAGGCCTCCCGAAGCATGTTTAGCTCCTGCTCCCAGAACTGTCGCTGCTGCAATTGCCGCTGCTGCTCCTGCTGTTGCGGTGTGGGGGCAGCGAATGGCATCCCGCCCATGCTTCCCATCGCTCCAGCGCCCACAGTGTTGGGACCCTGACCAGCTCCGGGATGTCGTCCGACGCCCCCCATCCCGCCAAATCCCCCTTCCCCGCCGCCAAACCCACTGGTACCACCAAAAAAGCCAGGGGTTGGAGGCTTTTGTGCCGATGTCCCTGCCGTCATTCCAAAGGGACTGGATGACGCGGCGGGCGTTCCAAAGAGGCCAGCTGTAGTACTGCCAGTACTGCCATATGCAGAGGCTCCAAAGGGTTGGCGCGAGGCGGTTCCTGTTGTCGTCCCCGATGCATTAAGGCCAAAACCACCAAATAAAGAAGGCTGCTGCTGCTGTTGTTGTTGTTGTTGCTGCTGCTGCTGTTGCTGCTGCTGCTGCTGTGGTTGACTAAGGTTACGTGTACAGGAATGAGGGATCAGCGTCGGGATGCTTCACAAAAAAGCAACTAACTGGAACGGTGACACAAGATGTTATGCTTTCTTTATGACACCCTACATCTTGTTCCAGTCTTGTTTTGCTTTTTTTGCACCTCACCTTCCGAATGCGTTTGTTGATCCAAAAGCCCCGGTGGCGGAAGCAGCGGCAGGCGTGCCGAATAGGGACGCAGGAGCAGGGGCTCCAAAAGAGCTGAAAGGCTTGGGCGTTTGGGAATTTTGTTGGGGCTGACTTGCCGTCCCAAAACCAGCAAAACTCATCGGCCTAAAGTTGCGGGAAGGCGAAAGTGTGACATGAACGGTCAAGTGAAGATCAAGTAAGACGGGAGACCACAGGAGGCAGAGGCAGGGCAAAGGGAGGACTGCTCATGGGTTACAGCATGCGCGTACAGCAAAAAAAAGTGCTAGCGCGTAGACTACAGCGTGATTGGTGTGCGAAGCACCTGACACCGAACAAAGGACGTTTTTATCCTGGCCCCTCTTGGCCGTGTGGCCGCCGATGGGGTCTGGCCTCCGCCTCGCTGAAGTCGAACCGAAACCACACCGAAAAGAAAGCCATGACCGATCCCACCAAAATATTGGGTTTAGCGCCCGATGCCAGCGAAACCGCACTTATCACGCGCGCATCTTGCTCACTGTGTGGATGAGGTGCGCGTGGGGGATTCTGTTTCTTTTCTACTCCGTGACTTCAATGTAGTCACAGGTCTTCTAGCATTGTGCCGAGGTTAAATAACGATCATGAAGCAGTTGCTTTAATTCCTGAGGGATCTAACCGCGACTTCCCCATTTTTTGGGACCAGGTCCGGGCCTCCTACATCATCACGTCCCTACAAAGACTGTTTTCACTTTAGACGGAACGCGAGACCTGGGCGTCCCACTTGACGGTGAACTGTGTGAGAGACGTTGTCTCTTACCATTTGAGCTCACCTTCCTACTTGTCAAACATGGCCTCGTCCACTGCCCTGATGGAGGACAGGATGGAGAGGAGTCCGAATCCCGGCAGTCCTCCCGGCAACAGCCTTGAAGGCCAGCTGGAAAGTTTCAGCTTGTTGCCTCACAAAACGGAAGAAGAGAATGAGGAAACGGCGCAAACTGCTACGCCTGGGGTAAGCGACATCCTCTCTGTGAGGGGGGAGACAAGTGAGAACACGCCAATGGGCACAAGTGGGCAATCGAAGAAGGGGATCGTGGACATGCTGTACAACAACAGGCCCAAAGAGTTAGAAACACGGCCTCGTTACATTGATGCACACCCGGAAGCCCGACTTGTCCTCCAAGCCTTCTTCAGCGCCGTGTTGGCGGAGGAGCCCGAGGATGTTTATGCCTTCGCCCGGCAGTACTTCAGCCAACGAGTGAAGGTCCCGAAAGAAGAACTCTTGCGACCTTTGGTTATATGTGGGCCATCGGGGGTAGGGAAAGGGACGCTGATGAACATGCTGTTTGAGGAGTTTGGAGGCTACTTCGGCTTCTCTGTGTCTCACACGACACGGGCACCGCGACCTGGAGAGGTGGAAGGCGTACACTACAATTTTACCTCAAGAGATGCCATGGAAGCGGCCATCGAGGAAGGGCGTTTCCTGGAATTTGCCCGAGTGCACACCAATTTGTACGGAACGAGCCTTGAGGCCGTGCGGCAAGTCCAGCGCGCGGGCAAAGTGTGTGTGCTCGACATCGACGTACAAGGGGTGATAAAGGTAAAGGAAACCGACGTGAACCCCCACTACGTGTTCATCGCCCCGCCATCCGTGGAGCATTTGGAGGCGAGGCTGCGAGGCCGGGGCACGGAGTCTGCGAAAGACATTGAGACACGGCTGGGGGCGGCGCGTACGGAGATCGAGTATGGCCTCGCGAAGGGAAATTTTGAGCATGTGGTCGTCAATGATACCTTGGAAAAGGCCTATGCTGACTTGAAAACGACATTGGTTGGATTCTATTCGCATTTGGCGGCTAAGACCGCTTGAAAAGAGAGAAGCGACGGCGTTATGCAGCGCCACTTTGATGTCTTCGGTGTCTGACAAGAGTTCAGTTTCTTCATGGAACAAATTCGGGGAATATGGTAAGTGCACGCGTGCCACTGTTCATGGTCTCATCCTTTGCAAAGACCATCAAATCGTAGTGCCACGAATAGAGAGAAAGACTGCATATTCTCGGGTGTAGCCCTGCTTTTCGTGAAGAATAGCCCCAGGAATCGCACGTTGTTCAGTAGATACAGAAATATTTGGTTAGATTATTTTAAAAAAGATCGCTTTAGATCTCCGCAAAAGTCAGGTCCGCGGGCTTGCATGTTACAATGGTCGCTTTGGCTCGACTGGAGAACTAATTAAGTTCAAGGAAAGAAGATCTGGAAGATCTGGTAGACGAACCAGGCACTACATGGCAATATATAGATTTTAGCATATCTCTGTCGTCCGTTTAACCCTCTAGTGTCTGGGGTAGTTAATTACATTGCTTTTAGCAGCCTGGGATGTGGTTCCCCTCCCCTCTACCCCCTCTTCCCCCTTTACCTCCACGTCCTCCTCGCCCCTCCCTTCTCCCACCCCGCATATGACCTCCTCCGCGCTGTAGATTCCTCGACACGGACGCGGCTGTTGGCGGTTTATCCCCCTCAAAGGCTCCGATAGGTCTCGCTCCCTGCGCTGGCCTGAATTTACAGCCCACATTCATATCCTGCGTCAAGATCTGACCCACCCACCCCCCTTCGTGCAATTTTTTTTTCGCCTTGTGATGGTCTGCGATATGCTTTGCCAGGGCTATTCCTGACCTGGCTGCCGCGGGTATCGAAGGGGCCAACATCCAATCCCCACACACTCCACACCCCGTGCTTGCCTGGAAGATGAAGGGTACCTCCTCCGACACGTCTGCCACAGAGATCGGGTTCCCGGCTCCCCACAACTGTAAAGCGGAAGTGGAGACCTTGAAGGCCGCGTCGTATTCTCGCCCTTCCTTTCCCAACGCCAGGCGAAAAGCCTGTAACAAGAGAGAGGTGACCTCTGCGGCTGTCTCAATGGGAATATTCTCCTGGGGAACCTTGTGCTCTTCGGCAAAGGTTGGGGAAGAGACGATGACCCACGCCCTCCTTGTGCCCTCGTTTTCTGGGCCCTTCTCCACGTTCTGCCCGAGCTTTGCCCCTTGGTCGGCCACCCAGGACAGAGCTGGCACCCCTTTCACAAAAGCGCCTTCCAAATTCGGTGTCGGCAGCGGCACAGGACCGTCTAACACCACCATGAGCACGTACAAGCTACACAGTTGCATGAACCGTGGAGTCGAGCCTCCGCGGAGGTTGGCGCCGAATTTGGTCTCCAAGAGACGGGCAACGGGCGCCAGTGCCGGTCCTGCAGATTTCATCAAACGTGCCGCACATTTCCCATTGTGGGCGACTACAAGGTAGTCGAAGTCATCCAGTTCCTCTTGGTAGTGCCAGAGGCGCCATGTGCCGTCTTTGTTCTGCCTGGCCTTTGACACCCATTTAGGCCTGTCAATCTCGAGGTTTCTTGCCATGTAAGCCGGGATAGCCCGCATGCCACCGCTTCCGATCAGTGCGCGAGGCTGCACGCCGCCTGAGTCTGTGGCGCGGGGCGAAAAGACCCCGCCTCTGGAAAGGGTTCCAATACGTTGGCTGTCCCATTCGCGGAGTACGCCGTCGCACTCCATCTCGCATACCCACTTGTTCCAGGTGTCAGAGGGGGAGGACGGGGAGGTGGAAACATAGGAGGACGGCGCACTCAGGAACTGAGCAGAGTGGTCAAAAAGCACTTGAGTTTTCCCACCGTCTACTTTGAGCATTTTGGATGAGCACCGCCCTCCAGGATGCAATCTGCCAGTGTCGAAAAGAAGAACGTCCATCCCGTGAGCTTGCAGCTCCTTCGCACAAGCCAGGCCCGAGATGCCTGCGCCCACAATGGCCACGCGGCCACTAGGAGAAGATTTTTTTCCGCCAGAAGCTACCATGCATAGATTAGACTTTTGGTATAATTGTGGGATAGTCAAGTGAGTTGAAAAATCTTTCTGTACGACTCGCAATGCCGCTCCACGCGGCATACGATGGTATACAAAAGCTGCCGGAGTGGTGCTGCAAGGCGAGGAACTGACCGAGGCGAGAAGGACTATCAAAAGCGACAACTGTAGCAGCCGTACCATCAAAGTCGACCTCTTCCTCTTCTCCTAGTATGTGGGTAGTTTATTTTCGACGTTAGACTCTAGAACTCCCGGCATAGTCATTCTTCCTCGTAAGCTTCTGATGCTTCGAGTCACGTCTTGGCGACTCCCCCGATACCACCCTGGCGGGCGTTCCAGGTCGCTGACATGACTTCCTTCCCTCCCCAAAGCTGTCAAAGCTTCAAAAATCCTTGAACACATTTCTTCTATCATCACCCTACGCATAAGAACTAGCGTGTGTCGATGTATTGGCGGCTAGCTTTGCGTGCCGCATGACAGATGGACTTGGTCCCTCTGGCGCTACTTCGTCTTTGAAGTTCCTGGTGTCTAAACCCGCCCGGGCATCGGCCGCACGGCATTTAGTTGCTATCGAACTGCCTCACTGCGGGTAGAAAGACGTTGCATTGAGGACATTACAGACAGCCAGCATATAAATTTCTATAGATGAATTTTTAGATCCTGCAGACGAGGGAAAGAAGTCACGTCTTTAGGAACAAATAGGAAATGGGTCAGTGGGCTCGATCCGAGCTATGCGTGGTTAAATTTCAGTCAGTCAGTGTTTCGCGAGTCTTTCCTTGAAATTAATGACACTCTCCGGGAAAATGCTTCATTTAACACTTATATATCCTATTTAACGCAAAATGCAAACATACCCTCATCGAAAGCACAGGGTTGTTTAGGAATGGGGCAGGCGCAGACCTCATCCTTCGTTAGTCCGTTTGCCGCACCACCACTGATGCTAAATACAGACGACCTGGTTCGCAATTGGATGACTGACGGAAACAATGACACAAGGTATCATTATCACGGTCAGTCTCGCAGCGAACGGCGTCGTTGCCGCTCGGACGGCGCGAAAGCTTCATCTACCTCGCCGCCTGTGGACAATGGCGTAACTGGTGTCATGGTCCAATGTGGTCCGCAAATCGAATCTCAGAAACATAAATTGCTCTCAACCTCACCCGCTTTCATTTTTATGATGATACGGCACCAAAATGGAGAAGAGGTGATCCTTTCCCGCGAGGCTGTGCACGGTGCGACCAGCAGGCTGACGTACTCGCGGCACCAAAAAGACATAGTCTTGGTTCTCAGCGACCATCCAGCGGTCCATTTGCCCGCACGAGCAATTGCTACGAAAGCAGGCATGGGGGAAATGCTGTTCGTTAGGGAAGGTCGATCGCGAGCACGGGACCGGAGTACGGAAAAAAGAATCTGCAAACCCATGCATTCGATGACGCTTCTTGCCCGTCCTGGTGGCCGCTCGCACGACTTTCTTTGTGGCTTCCAGAATATCATCGCTACTGTGCTATCTTCTGTGCAGCTTCAGGCCGTGTTGCCCAGGGTGGCGAGCGATTGGGAAGCACACCTGGCTCTTGTCCTTGTAAATGTGGCCTGCTGGCACCGAGACTTGCCAGGCTTAACATTGCTTTTCTTGGGTATGCTGCTCGTTGCGGAGGCATTCAGATGGCATACCATTGAGATTGTACTGGGCGAAGGAGGACGTGATCGGCAGCTCCTGCGTGCAGTGCCTTGGGATTGGGAGGTGAATATAGGAAGATGCCTGATGCGCTGGCGCCGAGTAAGCTGCGCTTCACCGAGAATATCAAAAGCCAGGCCTGCAATCACTACCAGGAGCGTGATGAAAGAAGAAGAAATGGCAGTCTTCGGGGAAACTCAAGTGATTCTAGAAGAAATGATTGACCTCGAGGAGACCGTTGAGCAGGTGGCCATGTCTGAAGAGGAGCTGGCTGTTACCGTGATCCCGTCAGGAAATTCAGTGGCCCTCTCAGAGGTTTCTGCGCAAGAAACAGACCGAAGCATTTATGGATCGCAGCGTCAGGCCTCTGATACCGTGATCGCCGCCGAGCATCGTCCTCGGTCAACTGATGCGACGGCGGCAACAGTCCACGAAGTTGAAGAGGCTGAAGTTTCAGCATGCCCCTTTGCCTGTCCATTGGAATACTCAGAAAGAAATCCTTCTTCCTCTGAAATAGCCGCACCGAGAAGGAGAAGCATTGAGAACATCTCCATCACATCCACAGGTGTGCGTAGACCGCCATTACCATTGCGGTACCTCACCGTAACAGGCAACAACGTAGCAAAAGCGCAGGCTAAATGGGCTGCCACCCTCAGGTGGCGCGCTGCGTATGGGGCAGACACAATCCTAGAAGCACCTCACACAAACTACGGCCTCATCAAGAAGCAGTTTCCACAATTTGTGGCAGGCAGGAGCCGGAGTGGAAATCCCGTGGTAAGACGGGGAACGCAGGCGCTGTACACCATCAAGCTCTCTCACTCCCCCCTGCTCTTCACTCAATTTTCCCCATAGTACTACGAAATGAGCACAAGGATTGACGCCAGGGCTCTTACGTCCCAGGGCGTGGACGTGGACGAAATGATTCGGCATTATGTCTGGACTAACGAGTACATATACTCGCGGTGGGTTCCCGATCCCGAAGGACAGATCATTTCCGTCGTGGACTTGTCGGGGTTATCTATTGGTGGTATGTCCACCCTTTCGCTTGAGTTCGTATCGAAGGCTTTGACATTGATAGGGGCCCACTACCCCGCCCGCGCCCAGGCCATCCTCATCGTCAATGCCCCGATCTTCTTTTCGTATATCTGGAATCTCGTAAAGGGAGCCGCCGACGAATACACCAGCAAATCCTTGAAAGTTTATAGCCGTGATGAATCCTTTGCGGCATTGTGCGAGTATATTGAGCCAGCTCAAATCCCAGTCGAATATGGAGGCACTTTAAAGTATGGTGCATCCAGAGGCATGAATGAGGAGCGCAAGCACGAGAGGCAACACAGCGTGCGGTGGACAAGCCCATTTGAAAAGGAAATGGAAGCACATGCCAACCGCATCATTGAATCAACGAAATGTGGCATCATGGGCTCAAATGATGACGAGAAGAAAATTGAAAGGAGAAGCGTAGCCGGTGGGACGTAACCAGCAAACAAAGGACAGTAGAGCATTTATTACGAAAGCAAGGATTGAGCGAATTGTCCTCATGTTTCTTCTTCAAATGAAAAGTTCTCCGAAGGCGTCCTTTATGGAAACAAACCAAATTCATACAAATGAAGAGAAAATATACCAAAAAAGGCATTTAACTTGGATATTTCTCGGGAGCATTTTTTTTCCCGCTCGAATTCAAATTTCCGGTACGAGAATCATCACGCTCTCTCACGATCGGTGACTCAAGGACTGCATGTGTGCAGATTCGGAGGCTTGACGGCAAAGCTACTGGTGCGTGTCGGAGGATGCAAGGTCAACCTGTGTTCAATCACCTTTTCTCACTTACAAGGAAACATAGGGCTCTTTTGCGGCACTTTTGAGCCTCTCGTTGTGCTTACATAGCAAAATACATGCACATGTATTTTCCTAAGGCCTCTCCGTGATCGAATACAAACCCCGCCGCGTAAATTAAGGAATACTGACATTGCTCGGGCATGACAAGCGTGTGACATTAATTGCAGCACTCAGCACCCACAACACACTGGAGATCTTGTCATTGCAAGGTCATCAAGTATTCCCAAAATTTATTTCATTTGAATCGTCGAGGTACGTGTACACGGGTAACCAAACGGGAGATTGAAGGGAAACTTTGTTTCCAGAACTTCGCGAGAGGAGAGCGTTTGTCAACCTTGGTTCTCTTTAGCTCCATAAAATAGCAACACGAAAGTTATGATGAGATTACGGACGAGGAAATAGAAATAAAAGAGGCTGAATTCAAAAAGAAACTGCGAGACTCACATCCTTTTGTACCTATCGCCACATCAGGGCTTACACGGCATGTGTACTGGCTAAACTGCCTGGGAAATAAATAATAACATTTTTTTTATTTCAAGTTCCAATCATGTCAATAGCCTTGGACAAACCGATTGATGTGTGGGCGTCGGCCGAGGCAGATGACGTCGCTTCTTTGCGCACGCTGATGGGAGAAGGTGGGGGTAGCGAGAATTTAGACATGTACGTGGACGAACGAGATGACCATGGCCGCACAGCTTTGCACGCGGCCTCTTCAAAGGGAGCGGAATCGGCGGTTCGATTTCTCCTGAGCCGGGGAGCCAATCCGAACAAGGCGGATCGGGAAAGCCATTGGACATCTTTACACAGGGCGTTGTACCACGGCCATCTCCGCATTGCGCTTTTGCTTTTGCGTGCAGGAGCGGTATTGGGGGATGAGCTGACCCCATGGCAAGCTGGGCATCATTTGCGGGGCGGGAAGAACAACGGCAGCAGAAACAATCAAACGACAACAAGAAGCTTCCTCGACAAGAAGGAAAGCAGCCAGAGCAGGAAGGATGGAGTGGACAAAGACGGTTTGACTCCGCTGTCTTTGCTTTCTTGGCGACTCCGCAAGCATCTGCAGGAGGCTGTACGAGAGAACAAGGGAGGGGACGTGGTGACGTTTGGAAAAGCGGATTTCCCGCTGGGTTACCCGCTCCCCAACACATCAAACGTGCAAAAACCGAGGCGTGTGGAGGCTTTGGCAGACGTGGCCGTGGTGGCCATCGCCGCGGCAAGGCATCATTCTGTTGTTCTTGATAAAGATGGTCGCGTCTTCACGTGGGGCCACGGTCGGGGGGGGCGCTTGGGACATGGGGACGAGAATCCTCAGATGTTTCCGAAGCTTGTGGCTGCATTGGACGGGTTGCGCGTGGTCAAAATCGCAGCTGCCGAAAACCACACCGTGTGTGTGACAGATCAGGGCCTGGTTTTTTCCTGGGGCTCGGATCGCTTCGGGCAACTCGGCGTGGGAGGGTCCTCGGCGGGGCACGGCACGGCACGTCTCGTTCCCCGTCGTGTGGAGGCTTTGCGCCGCTGCATGGTTGCGGACGTCTCCGCCGGTGCCACACACACTGTGGCCGTCACGCGGGAAGGAGAAGTGTACACCTGGGGGGGGAACAAGAGCGGACAGCTAGGGTACGAG